CTTATTTGTAGGCCTCGTGATGTTCACTGAAAGACTGAACAGACAAATATTCTTGTCTGGAGGCTGTGCTGAATGTCATGGGAAGGCAGAATTCATCTTCCTCAGTGCTTAGCCGAGCTGCATCTCACTTGCCATTTTTTGGTTCAGGTTGTGCGTTGTCTGCAGCTTAGCAAAGTGTGGAGTTGCAGTGCAGAGCAGCATTTCGTAACAAACAAGGTCTGGTGTTTCAAGAATGGGAGCAGGAATTGGTCCTGAGTCCAGGGAGAATATGACAGGAAAGAAAACAGAACAATAAAATCCATTATCCTTTCAGTGCCTTGTTTTTCTCGTGTGTATAGTGCATGTACATGACTTTGGAAGTAACACCAAATCATCTGTAGCTTGATTGTGCTACGGAGTTCTTATTTTCATTACATGGATGCAGCTTTTTCTCCTATGGTTTCAGGCAGAACTCGAGTTTCTTGATGTGTTATCAGCATAAAGGACATAGAGATCTGCTGTTGCGCCACAGAAACACCGAATCCCAGAGTGGTGAGGGTTGAAGGGTCCTCTGGGGATCATCTGGCCCAAACCCCCCCTTGCCACAGCAGGGTCACCCAGAGCAGGCTGAACAGGACCCTGTCCAGGAGGGTTTGAATATCTCCAGAGAAGGAGACTCTACAACCTCCCTGGGCAGCCTGTTGCAGGGCTCCGTCACCCTCAGAGTGAAGAAGTTCTTCCTCATGTTCAGACGGAACTTCCTGTGCTTCAGTTTGTGCCCGTTGCCCCTTGTCCTGTCGCTGGGCACCACTGGAAAGAATCTGGCCCCGTCCTTCTGAAACCCACCCTGCAGATATTTACAAGATCCCCTCTCAGTTTTCTCTTCTCCAGCTAAGGTGAAAGTGTCTGTTGTCCAAGGGTTAGCGCACAGAACAAAGCCTCTCCGCTCCTGAACTTCGTTTCCTGTTTTGAAATCAGCTTTGGCGAGTCAGAGCTGGGGCCTGTTGTTCTGAGAGCTGCTGAGCGCTTCTGATTGCTGCTGCCATCCGAGAGCTGCCGGTTATGGGCGTTGTGGAAACTGCAGGCCCAGTCTGTGAAGGCAGATTTTCCACAACAGCCACTTGAGATGAATGGTCAGTAAAAATTCAGCCTGAAGCTTCACATGGCTCTTTCTCAGTCTTCTCTGCAGGCATAATTGTCAGATAATTATTACTGAACTTTGAGTTTCTATACAAAATAATGCCATTTCTTACGCATGACAAACAGCAAAACAGCAGCAATTTGGACATTCAGATAAAGACATATAAAAACAATTATAGAACTAGAAAGTGTTGTAGAAAGTGAAATCTAGATAAATACCAATCAGAAGCTTGCCAGCAGCAAGGTACAGCCGGTGTTTGAAGTGTTAGCCTGAGATACAGGAGATTGGGTTTAGTTCCCTCCGCACTGGACTTCTGTGTGATCTTAAGCAAATAAAGTGATTGTTCTTTTCCCGTTTGTAAAGTGCAGATAACACTCTTT